ACACCCTCTTTCACAAATTGCCAATAGTTCTCTCTCTGACATTAATACAATATTATTTATAACCAACAGAAATACAAAGTTTTAATATATCAAATGACTTATGTTACATTGTTTTCCGTTAAGAGAATTGTCTATTTTGCTTCAATTTCAAACTTTATTTCCATAGGAAACACATCGACAAGCTTAGCGGAGTTTTTAATGGTTTTTAACCAACAGAAATACAAAGTTTTAATATATCAAATGACTTATGTTACATTGTTTTCCGTTATGAGAATTGTCTATTTTGCTTCAATTTCAAACTTTATTTCCATAGGAAACACATCGACAAGCTTAGCGGAGTTTTTAATGGCTTTTATCGCATAGTTAGAAATCCAGAAAAATTATGATAGCTATAAGGCATTGTCTGCTTTTTATATATTATTATTCTGTGTTCTTAGGTGCATTATTTCATTAAATAAATAAAAAAAAAGACCCAGGTAAGTACTATATTTCTTGTTTTTCATGTGTATTCTTTACATATTATTGTAAAAGTAATTAAATGCACAAATTATAAACTTTTTAAGTTAGATAAAGTTAAATTAAGTAAAATAAAGAAAAAATTATACTTTTTCATGAGATAAGCTCATGAGTAGCCCGTGTATTATGTAATTTGATAGGGTAATGCCAGCTGCACATTTGTCAAGTAATTTACAATTTGTGTGGCACGATTATCAATCCCACACAGTACAAATGACAATAAAATTTTAGTAGAAACAAAGGTATACTGTTACAAGGTTTAATCCAAGTATAATAAACAAATGTAATTTCACGTTACAATTTGACATCATTCTAGAAAGAAAAAAGGGATAATTCAGATTTATTTATGTTTGTTTTATGATAGTTAGAAAGTCAGTCAATTTGACTGACCTTCTAGAGAGTTAGGGTAGAGAAAATAATAGATATAATATCAAGTTTTACTGAAAAAAAAACCGTATGAAATTAATTAGGAGGTTTTAGAGATTAATGCAAGTGACATTTCACAATTTTCAGATGTAGAAAAGTATTATTAACCTTAACATTTATCACAGGTTTGGATTTGCTGTTTTTAATGCAGCCCTTCATTTTTATTTTATTTTTTGCTTATCTGTTTAAGTATTATTTTTCTATGTATATATTTCAATGAATGTGATTTGTTGCTGACTATGTTACGCATTTCCATTACATTGTTCAATCTTTATGCAGTTAAGTGTCATTCATTAACTAATAGACAAACTATGTCAACTGCAATTTAGCCGAGCGAGCTGATTATAGTAACTATAATATATATATTCATATTCAAGATTCCATACACATTCAGGGAAAGCAGTCAGAGAATTACACTGCAGGCAGTATAACATAAATGTTAATATCAGTGTTTTGTAATTTCAAAATACTGTTTGTATTATTGAAGTTATCTGTACACTAAACTAATTTCACGAGGAAGCCAGGATTGTATTATAGTTGCATACAGGTGCACAGGAACATTATCATATCAGTTTAACATGACAGCAAATGTACAACGTTTCGACAAGGTTAAACTTATATTAAAGTTTTTCTTCATTACCCATTTAAGCCGACTCCAGCCATTATTAGTCTCAAAGTGGGTTCCTCGTCATCGAATTATCATATCAGCAACCCCACCTTAAGTTTCAGTAAATTGCCAGTGTAGTAATCATGAAATACAGAGAATTAATTTTTATTCTACTGAAAATATAATCCTGATGCCACATTACATTAACTTACATTATCCATCAGGGACTCAAAATAACCAAGCTATGGTTTAACCCCCCCCATTTTCAGAAAGTTTGGAGTGTATGCCTCAAAGACTTTAGATGTCCTGCTTCTCTTATGCAAGCTGACATCATATTTTTTCTACATAATTATTTACATTTACAATGGTAGTGAGCATATAAAACCATGTATTTTTAACATCAGACTAGCATAACATCAAACTGGAGAGATAATGAAGAAAGTTGACATACTTGCCACAAACAGAACAATGGTGGGCTCTATCAGGCTTGATCATACGGCATTTTTCACAGACTCTAATTGCTGTCAAGAGGAAAAAACCATCAGCAACATGCATTATGATTATATATATATATATACTGTAAATTAAACAGAAAAACAGAGTGTTATCATAATGGAGACACTAAGAGGTCCCTTCACAAATCAAGAACTAATACATATTTTTAATTACTCTCCATTATTCTTTATTTACAACACAAAAATTGTAAAACTTCAAACGAAATTGTACATACCTTCAAGTTACATCACTTGTATGATAAACATACCTTGATTTATACTTTCCACAATAACCAATGAACACATCGCAATAGAAAGGATCTAAAACTATATCATGTATAATGCAAACAAACCAAGTATTTTCTATTTCCTTTACTTGAAAATACAAGTTCACCTGAAATTGTTCAAAATTTTTACACATCCAAGTGTATGTAGACTTGAAAGTAAAACACTGGTCAAAGAAGTGGATAAGTTCTTTACACTATAGTTACCTATTGTTCTAGATCACTCCCCTATGGTATTGGGCACTTTCTTGTGGGAAAAATTGCCACAAAGTGGAACACACTATGGAAAGGCAGACAGCAATCTTTTCTGCTGGCAGGTTTGGTGTCACCTTAAGGACAGATCTCCCTTAGTTTTCGATTTGAACGACTAACAGTGACAAATATAGTGTTCACGCACTGAGAACATCAGCATTGTAGAGCTGTGTATATAATGTTATGTGTTTTCAGTGTGGAACAGAATTTATAGATTCTTCATTTAGATCTGCAACATGTTTTGAGAATTCTCAACATCTAGTAAAGGTGCTGTCCTCCATTTATACACTTTCTACTGTTTAAGTACTCTCTTCTGAGCATTTCTAACAGCATATCATAAAAATATGAGGTAATCAATTCATACACTGTTTATGTTTGAAAGGAATCAATACAAAATTCTGATTTTTATAATAGATTCTTTATTAACCTTTTTATCCTGATGAGGTAGGAGTAGTTTTAGAGAACAATTCATTTCTGCCCGGCTGAACTCCATTCAGCAAAATTGACAGCATTAGTTTTAGACTCATAGAAGTTTAAAATACTAGTTCTGTATAGTATTTTCCTACCACAAGCTTTGACATTTATAATTTTACCTTATTTTTGCATTTCCACATAATCTTATGTCTTGCATGATATAAATTTTCCTTATAACTCAAATAATGCACAAGTATTTTGACTATATTACTTTTTTTAGATCACACACACTTGAACATGGCTTTAACTATGCAGACAGTAATATTTGAGAGAGTAAAACTCAAACTTAACTACATATACTTTCACACACACACACCCTTGAAATGAACTGAAATTCAGGAGTAGAAGTATAAGCTCGTCCAATTGCCTTAAGCCTGAAGTTTAAAATATTATTATATTGAAAAGATATACAAAATTTAACTATAATAGTTATAATAAAAAGCCTGTCCTTTTTTTGCTTAGTACATAACTACCTTTTATTGCCATGCCAGGAATACATTCTTATAAAGTAATCCCTTGTCATGAACCACGATAGTGGTTTATGATAGGGATTTCACAGAAATTTGCTCAAAACTCCAAAGGAATATTTGGGCAAAAATCATCTCAAAAAGCAGTCTTATTCTTGAAACAAAAACTCAAAACCTTTCTTTTCAATAGTTAAGAGCCACCAAAACACTGATAATAAGCAAAATAAGTGATTTCATGATTGTTAGACAAAATCAAAATTTACCCATTTATTTATATTATTATCACTAGTTTCACAAGCCTACAGCAAAATTGGCTGTATATCTTGACCAAAATCTAGACAGATATACTATATGAAATGCTGCAAATGTCCATTGATTTACATGGTTATAAATACATAATAGCTGAGATGTTATTATGAGTAGCTGCCTTTTACTCAATGCATGCTTACACAAAACCTTGGGCACAAAGCCACTTGGCGCAGTAAATAATTATTTTAAATACTCAAAGCTTTGTTTAAGACAATTTTTTAGATGTACTTGTTTTATTTGAAAAGGCTGATTTTCTACTGGTAAAATGTTATACGCACTTAGTGGGAGTTGTGTCTTACTCTAGGCATATAGTTGCCCAGTGCTGTGTATTAACAAAGCCAACATACAAACTAATTAAAAATTGAGAATTTAAAACCTACAAATAAGGATTGCAAAAAAGTAAGCAAACAAGGCAAAAGATCTATTACTGACAGTTTGCTCAAGCTACAATTCCCAATTGTGACTCCAATATAAAATTATTGCAAGTGATATCTACAGTTGTATGGGATCGCACAGGAATTTTGCAAAAAACTGAGAGAATATTTCTAAACTTAATTTAATCTCCTTAACTGTATTATGTTGCAAAATTTTCTAAGTCCTTCACTTTATGCCATCAAAAAATCCAATGTCTTCCTAGCAAGTGCATTAGTTGGAAACTACAAGTTATAAATTTTCTAGCACATTAATTGAAAACTGCCACATGAAAGGTTCCCAATTTTGTTATAGCATGTCGTTATTCGAGTTCATCATTACTTGATTTTGCAGTCTCTAAGTGTATTTTCATGAGTATATTTCAGCAAGTTTTTAACAGTGGATGATTACCAACGTATATTTCCCTATACAAACGATGGTGATGATTCTTTCTACTGCATATTATACTTAGCTGAATACTCAGCATTTATTAACAATCTATATAGCACTATTTCACATAGCTATTGTTACTTTCAAATAGTTGGTGTTAAAGTAGCAGTTGTAAATGTTGTCTATAATTGGTGACTTATGCTAAGTGTGTTGCTGTTGTCTATTTTGCATGCATTATTTGTATTGCCTTGTTCTAAGAAACATTTGTGCAGAACAAACATACGTCACGCAGATCTAATAACATCAGCATGTTACTGAGTCTGTTTTTTGTTTGTTTGAAGTTAAGCACAAAGCTACACAATGGACTATCTGTGCTCTGCCCACCATTAATACCAAAACCCTGTTTATAGCATCGTAAGTCCGCAGACATACCACTGTGCCACCAAGAGGCACAGAGTCTGTTTACATTACATTAATCAGTGTTGTATTATCTAAGAAGAAACACTGTTCCATTCTGATGAGATTGCTTTGTTGCTACTCGTCTTCTATTACATACACTGTTACAGTGACGGAAGCTGGTTATTAAATCTGTGATGACACAATCTTGGCCTCCAAGATGGTCCTTTGAGAACAACTTTACATTTTAATAATGCTTGGAGATGGCTTGAAAGGGTAATGAAAAAAAACTTTAATATAAGTTTAACATTACAGCAAATGTGC